TGTCTACGCAGCTGCAGGAGCTGCTAGACAAGGGGTTCATCAGGCCGAGCAGTTCACCCTGGGGAGCCCCGATTCTGTTCGTGAAAAAGAAGAACGGGTCGCATCAGATGTGTATAGATTATAGGGAGCTGAATAAGGTAACGGTGAAGAACCGTTACCCACTCCCGAGGATTGATGACCTCTTTGACCAGCTACAGGGAGCATCTTGGTTCTCCAAGATTGATTTGCGTTCGGGGTATCATCAGATGAGGGTCAGAGAGGAGGATGTGTAGAAGACTGCGTTTCGGACGCGTTATGGCCACTACGAGTTCGTGGTGATGCCTTTCGGGCTCACCAATGCTCCTGCCGCGTTCATGGACCTCATGAACCGCGTGTGTAGACCGATGCTGGATCGGTCCATGATAGTTTTCATTGACGACATCTTGGTCTATTCCAAGACGCAGGAGCAACATGAGGAGCATCTGCGAGAGGTTTTGGATATTCTGAGGAGAGAGAGCTTGTACGCCAAGTTCTCCAAGTGTGTGTTCTGGTTGCGCGAGGTGCAGTTTCTTGGGCACCTTGTCAACCAGAACGGTATTCTGGTCGACCCGGCCAAGGTGGAGGCCGTGATGAGATGGGAGGTTCTGAAGTCTCCATCTGAGATTCGGAGTTTCCTGGGATTAGCCGGCTACTATCGGAGATTCATCCAGGATTTCTCCAAGATAGTCGTACCCTTGACGCGACTGACGAAGAAGGCCGTAGTCTTTCGTTGGGGGCCTGAGCAGCAGGAAGCGTTTGAGACACTGAGACAGAGATTGTGCGAGGCGCCGATCTTAGCCCTGCCAGAGAGCGTAGAGGATTTTGTTGTGTACTGCGACGCGTCTATTTCGGGTTTGGGCGCGGTGTTGATAAAGAGGGGGCATGTCATCGCCTACGCTTTGAGGCAGCTGAAGCCTCACGAGGCGAACTATCCGACGCATGATTTGGAGTTGGGGGCTGTTGTGTTCGCCCTCAAGATTTGGCGTCATTACCTATATGGGGTCCGTTGTACCATTTACACAGACCACAAGAGTTTGAGGTACCTCATGGATCAGCCGAATCTGAACATGAGGCGGCGACGGTGGTTGGACGTGGTGAAGGATTATGATTGCGAGATCCTTTACCACCCGGGGAAGGCCAATGTGGTGGCAGACGCACTTAGCCGCAAGGCAGCGCCGATCAGGGATATTTGCATGCGGATGACCATGGTGACTCCGCTGCTGGAGCAGATCCGAGAGGCCCAGCAGGAGGCTATGAAGGAGGAACATCGGAAGAGTGAGTGTATTGTGGGTCAGGTTTCCTCCTTCGACTATGATAGCCGAAGATTGTTGACCCTTCACCATAGGGTGTGGGTCCCCTATCATGGAGGCGTGCGTCAGACGTTGATGGAGGAGGCGCACAAGTCCAGGTTTTCTATCCATCCCGGGGCGACGAAGATGTATAGGGATCTTCGTCTTGACTATTGGTGGCCCTGCATGAAGCGGGATGTGGCATGGTACGTGGAGCGGTGCTTGACCTGCAGGAAGGTCAAGGCCGAGCATCAGAGACCACACGGCAAGATGCAGTCGTTGGATATTCCCATGTGGAAGTGGGAAAATATTACCATGGATTTCATCACCAAACTCCCCAGGACCGCGCGGGGAGTAGATTCTATATGGGTCATCATGGATCGATTGACCAAGAGTGCTCATTTCATACCGATCCAGGAGAGTATATCGGCCGAGAAGCTGGCCGACATCTACATTCGGGAGGTGGTAGCTCGGCATGGAGTGCCAGTCTCCGTGATTTCTGACAGGGATGTGCAGTTTACTTCCAGATTTTGGAAAAAATTCCACGACGAGCTGGGTACTCGTCTGCACTTTAGCACTGCATTTCATCCGCAGACAGATGGTCAGAGTGAGCGAACCATCCAGACTCTGGAGGATATGTTGCGGGCGTGTGTGTTAGATTTCGGTGGTAGTTGGGATACTTACCTCCCATTGGTTGAGTTCTCGTACAACAACAGCTACCACGCGAGTATTGACCGTCCTCCCTTCGAGATGTTATACGGGAGGAAGTGCATGACCCCGATATGTTGGGGTGAGGTTGGCCAGAGAGTCATGGGGAGCACCGAAGTGGTGCTCAAGACGACAGAGAGGATTTAGCAGGTTTGGAGCAGGCTTCAGACTGCTTAGAGTCGGCAGAAAAGTTATGCCGACAAGTGCCGATCAGAGCTGGAGTTTCAGGTCGGGGATATGGTTCTCCTGAAGGTGTCGCCATGGAAGGGCGTCATCCGATTCAGGAAGCGGGGCAAGTTGGGCCCCAGGTATATTGGACCCTTCAGGGTTATAGCCCGGGTGGGAAAAGTGGCGTATAGGCTGGACCTGCCAGCCGAGCACAGTCAGATCCACAGCACATTCCACGTCTCCCAGCTGCGGAAGTGCTTGGTGTACGACTCATCAGTGGTACCCTTAGAGGATATTCAGGTCGATGACAGCCTGAATTACATTGAGCGACCTGTAGCAATACTTGACCGGAAGTCGAAGGATCTGAGGAACAAGAGGGTCGAGCTGGTAAAGGTGCAATGGCAGCACCGGAAGGGCTCGGAATGGACTTGGGAGCCGGTGGATGAGATGATGGAGCATTACCCAGAGCTTTTCCAGGAGCGAGCAGCAGACTTCGAGGACGAAGTCTAAAATAAGTGGGGGAGATTTGTAGCACCTGGTTCCTGGTACGTATTTTATTTAAGTAATTTGCATTTTTGGCGTGGGACTCGGCGAGTTGAAGGACCAACTCATCGAGTAGAAACGTATTTGATTCGGGATTTAAATGACGGACTCGTCGAGTCGGCTGCAGACTCGACGAGTAGGCTCTAACTGGACAAAACCCTAATCTAAGGGTTTGCACCCTATTTAAACATCTCATTCAGCCACCCTTCATCCCTATTGCTTCCAGAAAACCCCCATAGCAAACCCTAGCCGTTTGTATAAGAGCTAAGGCTTTTGTGGTGCTTTTTGGTGATTTTGAATTCAAAGGAGAAGGAAAAGCCTAGAGGAATCAATAGGAGACCAAGGGAGTTCAAGTTTGTGCACCATTTGCGGTTCACAGAAGGTACAAAGTCGATACCTTGCTTGTTCTTTTGCTAGATCCCTTTTTGGGGAAATTTAGGGCTTTTATAAGCCATTCTTGGTAACCAACCATGATTGCAAGCATGGTTGGGGGTAGAGGCTTCGGATCTAGGTCCATGGAGGAATTACAAGGCAGAAAGGGGCTGCTTTTGCACCCATGGAAGCCCCCATGCAACTCAAGAGTCCCTTTTAGAGCCTTTTAGGCTCAAAGTCCCATGCATGCACATAAAGTTCGTAACTTTACATGCTAGATCGAGTTTAGGGACCCAGATCTACCATTTGGACAAGAGTTGTACGCCAGAAATCGAAGAAATAAGACTTGGACTGTATCGACTCGGCGAGTCGTTCTTGGGACTCGGCGAGTCCGAGGGTAGACTCCCATTTCATGTTATGGGTCAAGGAGACCCAGTGGAGTGCTGGAAAGGTGTTAGAGGGTCCGGAGGAGTAACCTAACGTTTTAGGATAAGCTATAGTCCTGGAGTTCATAGGACTCGGCGAGTGCATGAACAGACTCAGCGAGTCCAAGGCAATCTCCCAACTCTTGAGGATGAACTCGACGAGTTGTTCATACAACTCGGCGAGTCGAGGACAAGACTTGTTCATAGGATGGAGATGGACTCGACGAGTTGTTCATACAACTCGGCGAGTCGGATGAAGGTTCATTCGAGGTTCGTATGGAAGGAGAACTCGTCGAGTCATTCCTAAACTCGACGAGTAGACTCGTAGATGAGGTCAGTTAAAAGGATAAGGACTCGACGAGTTGGCGGCCTAACTCGGCGAGTCAGGTCAACTGGAAGTTGACTTTGGCCTTGACTTGGACTTGGTCACGGGTAAAACAGTCATTTTACCCTAAAAGTAGATATCAGATTCTGACTGAGTGTTTTGTGGGGATTATAGCCGGAGGATTTCCGGAGCAGCCGCAGACAGAGATTTCCCGCCCAGGTTATCAGCAGCTACTCGTACGAGGTGAGTTACCTTCCAGTAGCGGTGGGTCTACGGCCACAATGTCGGCCCACCAGTAGGAGTTGTATGATAGATGATTGTCTTTGTGATATTCATCTAGGTTTGCTACTACCTGTTATGTTATGTGCTAGTATGATATGATGTTAGCAGTAGGGGAGATAGTCCCCGAGATTTCCGGTCGATAGGGCCGAAGGGGGTAGTCATACCCAGTTATGCTCGATAGAATATGATTATGTGTTACATGTTATGTGGTAGTAGTAGTGGGGTGAAATAGTCCCCAGTATCCGGTCGAGAGGACCGAAGGGGAGGCAACACCCAGGTATGCTAGGCAGTATCCGGTCGAGAGGACCGAAAGGGAGGCCATCACCCAGATATGCTAGGCAGTATCCGGTCGAGAGGACCGAAGGGGAGGCCAACATCCAGATATGCTAGGCAGTATCCGGTCAAGAGGACCGAAGGGGTAGGTCGGGCACCCAGATATGCCTGACAGTATATGTATGTTATGTGATTGTATGGTATGCGGTACGATGGGGGAACTCACTAAGCTTCGTGCTTACAGTTTATAGTTTTGGTTTCAGGTACCTCTTCAGCGAAGGGGAAGGAGCTGGCGCGGTAGCAGCACATCATACACACTCGCATTGATTTTTCGCACTTGAGATATTCTGGGATTGTACTCTGACATGATGCTATTTTATGACTTGGGTTTTCAGACATGATATATTGATTTACGGAATGATATATTTTATGTGGTTCTCTTATGAATGCTTTTATAATCAGTTAATTAAAAATGAAATTTTTGGACTCGAAATTTTGGGATGTTACAAGAAGTCTGTCAAATGTTGTTCTAAGAAGGTTGTAAAAGATGTTTCTAAGAAGACAGCTCAGGGTGATTATGAGAAGGTGTTAGAGAAGATGGTTCCTGAGACAATTATTACGAAATTAAAGAAGTTGAAGTTGGAGTCTAAGTCTTCAGGAGTTTTTATAAAAGAAGTTACTGATGAAAAGACACAAAAGAACAGGAAACACAAAGTTGTTGGGTTGTTGAAACGCTTTAATAAGTTAAGAATTCATACAATCAAAGAGCCTTCTACCATAGCTATGTAAATACCAAATAATTTGGAAGCATATCATGATAGCGAAGAGACATAAGACGAAATTCTTGGAACTAATAATCTCAGATTCCATGATTCACCACGAAAGGATGCTACTGTTGAATCGAATACCGAGGAGACAAGCAATCCGAATGTTACTGTACACGCATCTAATGTGGATACAAACATCAATTATGTTGAACCAATCTCCAATTCACTTCCTGAGACAACTAATGGTACTCCACCATAAGGTCCTATTTCCAAGTCCAATATGGAGGAGGGTAGGTCTTCGAACATCACTGAGAAGTTATCTAATAAGGACACATTGCATATATGAATACAATTATAATCACAAATAAAAAATTACAATGTCTTAATATAAATAAATTTCCGCTCCTTCCAAGTTGTTGTCTATGTGCATTCATCCTTCATCATTATAATCCTTTAGGCCATTCGTATTAACTCGGTTGATCTACAAGAAATCAAAGATTTTTTTTTTTGTTTTATTTGTCCACAAAGTGCTTAAGTCATTAACCAAATACACATTTAATATGAAATGAATAAAGAACGGTTGTAATCATCCACAAGAACTAAATCTATATTAAAAATAAAAATAAAAAAAACAAATATGCACAAATGAATAAAGCACATTCCTAAAATCTCTTATAGACTCAAGAAGTAAACCTTCTTAATGATCAAACTCAAAAAATATTGCTTCTTTTAGTTAGTAATGATTATAACTTAATCAAGAAAAAAAATCAGTTTTTACTCTCATTCTCACAAAAAAAGAAAAAAAAACACAAATGTCGTATTCAGATTGCACAAGAACCTTAAAAAAGAACTTACATAAAGCTACAATTAAAAAAACAGTTCAAATACAAAAGAGCAAAAAGTAAAGTTCAAAAATGAGTAAACGGGGCTAAAATTACCTTTCATTCATAATCAAATTAGCAAAAAAAAAAAAATAACAATATTCAAATTGGTTTTTAGAATGAGAAATCAAACTTCAGTTTTCACATTTCAGAAATCAAAACTTGAAAACTTCATAATCAGAAATCCGATAAGTAAAAAGTAGGGAACGAAAGGCTCTCGTATTCAAAATTAGAAATCAGATTAGCAAATAGCCAATAAGGTTGATTACCTGATGGTTCTTAAAGTGTACTTGTTTTGCCAATAATTGACTTGCAGGTCTTGGTCTAAAAAAGAAGAACGAAAAACACGAAGAACAGAAGTGTTTCTTTTCGTTTTTGCCCTTGCCTATCTGTGTATATTCGTAGCCCTAAAAATTGAGAGAAATGCAACATAAGGAGGCACCTCATCTGGTCTTATCGATGCCTCTTCTGATATCACCAATGATGGGTATGATGATGGTGGCTGCGGTGTGAGATGATGATGCTGAACAGATCTTGATGGTAGTATGTATACGATGGAGGCAAATTATTATGAAACCATAAAGAGTGAGCGAGAAAAGAAGAGGAATGTAGATACGAGAAGATGAAAGGAAAGATGTGAGAGGGTGAAAAATTATAAAAAATAGATAAAGTTGCAATTCCTATCATACTCCCATTTAAAAGTTACAATTTAATAGTTACACTTTATTAGTTTTAGAATTTTTCATAAACCATCGGCTTAATAACGACCAATTTTATAGTTTATTTTAAAAAAAACAGCGCTAATAGCAAGATTGGGAATATTACATGGACCATCTTTGTAATTCGATGGCTTATTAAAAGCTAGGGTTCGCTGCGAGAACCTGAAAATGGCTTCTTTTGGCTCAATTAGGTGTGATATATTCGACAAGGAAGAAAAGAAACAGTGCGCTTCTCTCCTCTTGCTATGAAATTGATTACGTGTCTTCATTTCAAACTCTTTTTGCATAATTTAACTCTAATGGAATCGCATTTGCAGGCAATATCAAGCTCACATATTAGGGCTCAATGCTTACGATCGGCACAAAAAGTTTCTGAAAGATTATGGTTAGTTTCTGAATCCCCTCCATTGTTCTTTTCCGTATATAAGACTGCAACTTAGGTGGCTTGATTTTAATTTGGCTGGGCCGATCGAGCGCTGTATGTTTCGATATGTGCATCAATAACTTAATGAATCAGTCTAAGAAAGGGCGATATGAATTTCTGGGAGGGATTATATCATGACATGGTAGGGTATGAATAAAACAATACCTCATGCGTCAATTTGTATAACGTAGAGTAATAATCTATCAGACCTCGATGTTTGATTATTGATTGTAATAGCTGGAGTATGATTTTCTTTGAATCAAGGGTTTTAAATTAGCCAGAAAACGATTATACTTCATGGTTTTAGACAGATTTGAAACTGCAGATTTAAAATCTAGTGCATTTATATACCCTAAGTTATAGCATTTCTTCTCGTTTTGGCTGAAAGATTGATTTGGACACCTAGGATGTACGCAAATGGTGAGCCCTTTATTTGCAAAATTCTGGTGTCCTAAAATAAATGGATGATGAACAATTCCCTCCGATTAAGTAAAGGTAGGGGGCTACTATCGTTCATACATTTTGATTTTGACATCAATAAGCTATCAATAGTGTGGTGCATTTTCATTCATATAATTTCAATCTGAATGCTATGTAATCAGTAGGATTTCAGGATTTAATGTTATACTTTGGCTTAAATATCTCTATGTGGTTTTAGTTTTATAAAAACATGTTGCTGATCTTTGGTTATTTTTCAGTTAGCTATTATGGAGGAGAGGGGAAGAAACAAGAAAAATTACCAATTAAAACTGATCAAGACACTCTTAGAGAAGGTTATCGGTAAGTTTTCTTTTTTTATCTTTATCTTTTTCCTTTGATTATGGTTTTTTCATTCTTGATTATCTGCTTCTTTCCTTTCTAGTGAAAAGGTTGTTGTTTTATGTTTAACAGCAGTAATTTGTTTGGTGATTCTTTTCTCTCAAAATGTTAAAAATGAACACAAACACAAACTCAAATCGAGAGGTGATTTCTTTATACTATTGTGAATTTAATGAATTTCTTAATTAAAGGATTTTAGAATGACCCTAAAACAATTTTTTTAGAGTGAGTTTTGCTAAATATGTTCAGGAAAAACTTTAAACAAGTTGAAGTTACTGGATGTGTGTAAAAACTTTGTTTGTTTGAGCTTAAAAGGAATGCTGTTTATCCATATTTTATGACAATTCTTTTATTTTTGAAACAGAAGGTTCTAAGCATATTTCTAGAACTTCTATAAACAGGTTTAATAAGTTTATAAATACATCAAAATGCGCCCTAAATCAAGAAAGAGTGCACATAAACCTCAATTTTTTAATTTTTTGGGGAAAGAATACCTATGTAAACATAAATATGCTAGTTTTTGATACCTATGCAAAGAAATATGGATTGTTGTTTGGGTGATTACAATATTTGAAGAAATATGTAATAGAAAAGTTATAAATAATTAAAATGGATATTTTAGATATTGTAGAGTACAAATTATTTAAAACAATATTAAACTTTTACATAACGAATAATGTTTTTTAATGAGATCTATGGATTTACTTTTTCTTTTATTTTTATTTTTATTAGGTTCTTGGAATCTACCCTAATAAATTTAAATTCTACCCTAATAAATGAAAATGTTTTTGCCACTTGTAATTTCCTCAAGATTTTTGCCACATGTCATTATGTGAGATTTTTGAATTACTTAAATTCCACATGTCATTATGTGGTATTTTCATTTTTTTGTTAATAAAAAATTAATCAATCCCACTAATTAACACCTCTATTATTATTATTATTATTATTATTATTATTATTATTATTATATATGTAAAGTATTTATTATATTAAATGTGTAGATCAACACTATAGTTAATGAAACATTTATTATTTAAGGTAAATGTATTTTTCTCCATAAAATGAATATAATAATAAATAGTTTGTTTTTTCTACCACTCAAAACATTTATTATGATTTTTTTTATTACATAATTAAAATAATGAAATATTATAAAACAATATTGTCAAAATTGAGATATTATAAAATATATTTTGTTAAACTTTGAAATGAAGTAGGCATTAAAATTATTTAATGTTTACACCTTGATATAAAACCTTTATTTTTAACTAGAAAAAGAGCCACGGGTTGGAAATTTTACATTTTTTCAAAAAAATTGGCCCATTATCATTAAATAATAAACTGCAAATAACTCATTTCCATTAAAAAAAATATTGTTAAGCATTTGTAGGGTTTGGAATATGAAGGAACTGAATTTTGTCATGCATTTGGTTGGCAAGTAACAACAGTTGTTCGGTGATGAAATTCAAAGGCCAAAGGAATTAATATTATCATAAATTTGAACATGCAATAAAATTCACCTCTATTCTTCTTATTTCTGCTTTAAGTTTCGGTTTGTGATGACTTTCCCATGCTTGAATTTTAATCTGTTTGTGTATAAATCTGAACACACATCATAAATAATGTTTATAAAAAACATTTAAAAGGTGAAATAACATTAATAAACAAATAATAGTAGATAAGTGTTTCTCAAGTTCATCTTTCCAAGTTTGTACCCCTACCTGTAAAGGCTCCTTTCCTTTCATGTTGTAAGTTTATTCGACATGGTATACGAAAAAAAGAGCATATAAAATGACCAATTTGCCCTCAGTCAATCCTGTGGCTACGGTGAACGTGACTAACGATTAAAATAGTCATTGTATCTTTTTTAAGACTCAAGAATGTACTATTTTGACTTTCGAAAGTCAAATTTACCATGTCACAAACATCAACATTTTACTATTTTGTGATGCTTTGAGTCGCATGTAATTGGCCAATCTCAAAGGCCATTGACATGCTATCCATGATTCCCCCCTGTTTTTACGACCTATTGTATATAGACCAGCCTCAGTTTCCGGTCCAAATCACATCAGCCATCAGTCATAAAAAAAAAAAAAAAAAAAAGTTCCAATCAAAATCAATTACAAACTATCTCAATACTATGCTTACAAATTAGATAATTGCTTCCATTACCAGATCAACCAAACATCTATTACCAGATTAAAAAAATGTCATATTGAATGAATATAGGGCTTATTGAGACCACTAATAACACCAACCTTCCTTTTTATTTGGTTGATCATTGGAGTATGAATCCATATGTTTCCTAACTAAAAAAAAACGATTACTTTGAAGGATGACGAAAAGAAGGAAACACGCATAACTGAATTAAAAAGGGATAGAATTGAATTGAATAACTGGTGGTGAAAGTCGGTGGAAGAGATGGTGAATAAGAGAAGAGACTGGAAGGATGAAGAGAATTAAGTTTGTTAGGGTTAATGAATAAAATTATTCAAATTAATGTAGTAAAAGGACCACATTATTTGAAATATGACCACTTTTGTAATAGATAACAAATAATGAACAAAAAAACTCCTAAAATACTTAATTTGTGATATTTTTTCTTGATATTATATGACACATATTTGTTTTTTTTTTTTTTGAAAGGTTTATACGCTCTGAAGAAGATGATATGGACTTTTCATGGGAACAAAGGCTGGTGAAACGTTATTATGATAAGCTTTTCAAAGAGTATCCTTTTCATTTCAACTTGTTATTTTTTTGCAATTGTTTACTATATTAATTTCAACTCTTTAGTGACACATGTCAACTGATTGCTGCTGACCTGTCATTTGCCACTTCCCTTAATGCTCTTAAAGATATTGCATCGCTGACATGTCACATTATAAGTCAGGCAAGGTATGCAATTTATACAAGATTTTCTTGGGCTATTATATAATATGTTTTAGAGTAAACTACATTTTTACTCCCTGAAAATAACTGATTTTTGCAATTTTGGTCCCAAAAAGTAATCTTGTAATTTTGGTCTTTATTTGAGATTCTTGTAACATTTTTGGGTTATGTTTAAAGTAAAATGACTTTTTTGTCCCTGTGTATAGCTAATTTTTCATTTTTTTGGTCCCAAAAGTGTAATCATTTTTACTTGGAACAGGATTAAACACGTTACAAAAACCTCAAATAAGGACCATAATTGCAAGATAAATTTTGGGACCAAAATTGAAAAAAATAGATATACTCAAGGACCAAAATGTAATTTACTATATGTTTTATGGAGGGATTTGTGTTAAATATTTTCATTTTTTCAGATTGGACTGAGGTGGAGGACTGAAAAAGAAGTTACATCTGGCAAAGGTACTTTTTATACCTTCACTATTTACATTGTTTTTCCAATTTGTTACAATTCTGACCATGACCACTTGACTGGTCAAACCGGTTGTCTGCTGATGTGGCAAGCTGACATGTCAAAATCAAGTTTTTTTTTTTTTTTTTTTTTTTTTTTTTTTTTTTTTTTTCAAAAGACACTGAGTTTTACTTTTTTTTTCAAATTTGACATTAAGTTTTATTTTTATTTTTTCAATTTGCACTCCATTTTAATTGTTCCAGATCGAACATCAATTTTTCTGGTTTTGTTGAATATTGACCATTTTCCATTTGAAACCGTATAAATAGTTTTTTTTTTTTTACATTTGAAACCGTATAAATACATTTTTTTTCTTTCATTTAAAAACCACATTTTTGTATAAATACAAGTTTTTTTTTTTTTTACATTCAAAGCATAATGTTATGTATAAATATGTAATTAAGCAATAACAATTCATATGAAACAAAATGTCTTCCCCAATTCTACATGTCAAACCAAACCCTAATCAACGATTCTAATATTTCAAGACACCCATTATTAAATGAATCGAATTTCCATTTAAACAACTGCAAATCAAGAAGTAAAAGTGAGGATTCATTCAGTCAGATAAATAACTAAATTTTTTTCTCATAATCCAAATGAAAAAACTACATAAAACGCATTATATGGTATCTTCTCATTTTGGAAACCCATAATTATTGAAATGAATCAAATTTAGTTATATAATTTTTGTTACTTGTTGGGTCTTAATTGTTAGGGCAGTTTGTATGTGGTAACAAACATTGCAATGAAGAAGAAGGTTTAACAAGCTATGAGGTAAGTCTTTCATATAAGTTATTTTTATTTTATGATATTTGTTTGTGGCAAATAATAAGTTATTTTTCATTTTTCTTTTCAGGTGAATTTTGCTTATTTTGAAGCTGGAGAAAATAAACAAGCGCTCGTGAAATTAGTAACTTGTGAGAGGTTTGAATACTAAAAATCACAATTGGCTAGTGAATAAAACTACGTCGTTTTGAGTGTTCTTATTTGCAATGTAGATGTGCAAAGAAACTTGTTTATAAAAAAATGAAAGAAAAGGAAAAGGAAGAATCAAAAAGAAGAGGAAAAGAAGAGCACAAAAAGAAAAGGTATTTTATATTTTACACCTCTTGAATTTGTCCTATTACCTTTTGCAATTTCTTTTTCTAACAATTTTATTTTTACCACATACGTTTAATTCACATTTAATTTGCTATGAAATTTTCAGAGAAAGGGATGAAAATGATGATGATACAAGCAAGGCTTATGAGAGGGCCCATGGTTAGTTATTAAGTTACTTTATTATTTTATCGATTTAACTACTGATTTATAATTATTATTATATAATAAGAGTAAATTGAAAAAAAATGGTCTTTTGTGTTTATGCAATTTTTTTTTGTTATACTTCAAAGTGAATCTTTTTCTATGAGTGGTGGTTCTTTTTGTTTTGGTACATGTTTGACACTGTTGGTTTTTGATCTGTTTGAAGTGTTTGTGAAATGACTATTTTGCCCCTGTTGTAGGGAAAAAGTTGTTATTAACGTCGGCGGGTGATGGTAAAGCTGATGACGAGGATAACTTCGATGAATTTCTTCAAGGAATGTTCCCCTGAACAATTGCAATTCGTTGTATTTTCATGAAATTATTTCTATCTGTATATTTTGGTAACAATTTTTTTGTTTTAAAAAAGATCAACTTCGGTTAAATAGTTTTCTGTTTATATTTTAAGAGTAACTAGGTGTATTTTTCCTTTGTTTCTGTTTTTAGTTTCTATGGTATCTTAGTCCACGTCAGTGCCATATCAAATTTGCCATACTCCATCAGAAACTTGCCATTTACATGGCATGGGTTGCAACATTTGTCATGTTATTTTTTTAAAATTAATTTATTTAAAGAATAATCAATTTAACCAAATTAATTTAAAACTAAAATTTCATTAAACTTCAATGAAAATTACAACAAATACACAAAAAAATAAAAAAAATTAGAAATTTAAAAATTAAAACATGGAAATTAAAATTACCAAACCTAGATAGACCTAAACGACATCTTCATTGGAAATTGACCGTCCAAATCATCGATCCGTTTCACGTTAAGATTGAAGTGGTTGACGGTCCAAATATGTTCTGTCAAGTCCCTATGAAGAACATGATGCGTCTCAATATCATGAATTATTGACCTCCTCGCCTTGTACTCGCTTCCAACCTCAAAAGCTTGTGTCGGTGGAACGATCTCGTTTTCGTTATACTCACATATTGCATTTCCTTCATCTTCGAGAATCATATTATGTAATATGATACAAGCATACATCACCTCACTTATTTTCTTCTCCTCCAAATGAGGTGAAAGATATTTAAGAATATGTCAATGTTTTTTTAGAGCACCAAACGTTCGTTGAACATCCTTTCTTGCTTTCTCTTGAGCTCACTTAAACTTCAACATTTTGTGATCATTTGGACAAGACAATGACTTCATGAAACAAGCATGCTCCGGATAGATCCCGTCCACAAGATAATACCCGTTCCTATACGACATTCCAGACACTTGAAAGGAAGAATCTGGTACAGTTCCGTTATACATGTCGTCGAGTAACGGAGACATGTTAAGAACATTAATGTCATTATGGGAACCAACAGAACCAAAGAATGCATGCCATATCGACAAATCCCGTGAGGCCACCGCTTCAAGTATGATGGTTGGCCTTGATGGACGTTCAAACAACTGCCCTGTAACATCCCAAAACTCAAGACCAAAAATTTCATTTTTAATTAAGTTATTATAAAACCAATAGTATAAGAAAACATCCATAATAACATCCCATGTCAAAACCAAAGTGTCAATAATCAAAACATGTTATCATAAAACAATATCAGAGTGTAATCCCAAAGATCTCATGTGTGGAAAACATAGTGTGATGCGCTGCGATCGCCGACTCCTTTCCTTTAAAAATGAAGTACCTGAAACCAAAACTGAAAACCGTAAGCACGAAGCTTAATGAGTTCCCCCATCATACCACATACCATACAAATAACATACTGTCAGGCATACCGAGGTGCCCGACCTACCCCTGTCAGGCATATCTGGGTACTTGACCTACCCTGCTGAGCATACCGAGGTGCTCAATCTACCCCTGTTAGGCATAACGGGGTGCCCAACCTACCCCTGTTAGACATACCGGGGTGTTCGACCTACCCTGTCTGGCATATCTGGGTGCCCGACCTACCCTCCGGTTTATCTCAATCGGTTCCGGGGACTATTTCACCCCTACCACTACCACATAATAACATAACATGAACATACTGCTAGGCATACATGGGTACTGTCTACCCCTTCGGTCTCTTTCAACCGGTATCCGAGGACTATTTCACCCCTGCTACTACTAACACATATCATAGCAAGCTAGCACATAAGGCATATCAGATAGTGGCAAACCAAACAATTATCACAAAGACAATCATCTCAAACAGAATCACTTACTGGTGGGCCGGCATTGATGCCTTAAACCCACCTCTACTGGAAGATAACTCACCTCACACTGCTGAAGTCCCGTGGACAAAACCCTAGCTGTTGTATGACAGATTCCCGAACTGTCAACAAAAAAACAACACTCAATTAATAATTGGGTTCCAGCACATAACCATAAGTCCATGCTTGGGGTGAAAGACTACTTTACCCCCATCTTAGCTATATTTGAACTCAAGGCCCAATCCAAAGGCCCAAAAGTCAAACTATAAACCAAAGCCCAACATATGGCCCAATTTTCCAAATTGGGCCCAAACCTTTACATGGTCTTACCCTAAGGCCCAACCATTTATTCTAGTCCAAACATTTGGCATTCTAATGGTCCAATATCTCATAATCATCAAGGCCTAATTATGGCCCACCTATGGTCCAATTTTCCAAATTGGGCCCAAACCCCTCACATGGGCCTTACCCTAAAGCCTATTCAAATATTCTAGTTCATATGCTTGTTCTCGGATAGCCCATCAATAGCCCAATCACCAAAGCCCAATAGAAGGGCCCAATTCAAGGCCCAAGCAAGATTAGGGTTTTCACATAAAATGACGATTAGGGTTAAGTGTTTCTTACTTAACCCATTAAGGACTTAATCCATTAAGTCCATCATTCTACTAGATAAATCATACGGTGTGATCGGGTGTAATTCATAATTTAATTCCAATGGCCCAAAACGCGGGTCCCGATAAGTCTAAACCAACAAATCCAAAATTAGGGTTTTCTAAACCCTAATTAGGGTTTTCTAAACCGTAATTAGGGTTTCCAACCCAATCGCGTTCCAATTAGTCCATTTGTTAAGTTTATAGGTTAATTAATTATTAATTAAGTTGGGCACCACCCACTACCACCTCGGGTAGTGGTGGTCAACAGCGGCTCACGGCGGCGGCCACCACCTCACAGTGGTGGTGATGGATTTCCTTAATTATTCCGGTCAAAATACAATATTACAACAAAATATCCAAATGAATGCACGCACACAAATAACACATACACACACACCCCAACCACCCTTGTGGCGGCAGGCGGTGGTTGGAGGTGGCAGCCACCACCTCACGGTGATGGTGGTGGCTTTTCTTGTGAAATCCGGCCAAGCAACACCTAAACACCACTTCAACTGAAATAGACACACACATAGCATCACTTCACACACACACACAACCACCTTTCACGGTGGCTGGTGGCGGCAGAAGGAGGCAGCCACCATGGTGGTTATCTTCTCATTTTCCGGCTAACAAACGACCACACACATGCTTTCTGTTAGCAAAAATGAACCCAGCCACCCACCTGGTGGCTTACGGCGGCGGCAGTGACACAAGAAGGCGGGCAGCATCGGCATTGACGGTGGCAGCCACCATGGTTGGCCGCCATGGTGGTTCTTCACGACTTGCATTCATCAGAAATGTACACACCAACGTGTACAGCCACCTCGTGGCGGCATAAGGCATTCGGAGGAGGACGCCACGATGACGTTTCAATGGCGAGGCAGCAGGCGGCGGCGGTTCCGGCTGAAATGACGTCATGGGTTGGTCCTCGACCTCAGCCACGATAGGAATGGCAACAACGAACGTATCCCGGTGGTTACCGACTTTGACAGCGAAGGCGGCGGCTGGAGAGTCACGAACGACGGCCACCACGATGCCACTTCTTCTCCAGTCTTCAACTGATGCGGCGCCATCCCCGGATTACCATCGGCCTTCGTTATTGCCGACACAAGAGTCACCGGCGGATGGAGGGAGTGGGGGGTATAAGGTGGCGGCGCCGGACTTGGTTGAGTGTTGGGTGGCGGCTGAAAAAAAAGCTCCTAGGGTTAGGGTTGGACGGGTGGTGACGGGTTATATACCCTGTCTCAAGAAACTTCATCCCATAATGGCACCATTAGTCCATCATTCTCCTCTTTCTTTCAATTTCGCTCCAAAATTTACCATTTCTACCCTGATTTCTGAAATCCCTTTCAAATCCAATCCGTAATTTACCCAATAGCCCTCAGTCTTCAAAATCCTTTCATAATAAGTCCAATACTTACCAAACACCCCCTGAATTCTAAAAATCTTTACAAAAAAAATTTCGAAATTACACTTTAACCCCTGAAAACCCAATTTATATCATTTGGCTCCCCGAAACCAACACCCCGCTAAATATTATGGATTTTAGGACTACTATTCATTTATTAATCTTTATCTATTTATTTATCTACTAAACGGGATGTTACATGCCCCATTCCCAGTAGAGGCGATCTAGGCTTCCTAACATTCCAGGGAAGCCGTGCATATTTGAATGATGAGCATACAACTATTGGACGTCACTAGAAGTAGCTTTGCGCAAATATCGTGGACCATATAATCTCATGACATACTTACACAATTTGTGAAAGCATTGTCGTGCAGTACGTCCGGACATTATAAGATTCTCATCTAATGCATCGGGGGAAGTTGCATACGCTAATCGACGAAGTGCAGCGATGCATTTTTGTAAAAGAGTAAAACCAACTGTATCTCTAGCGTCTGAACGTTGTCGAAAATATGGACATGCTGCTGTGACGTCGTTGACGATACACAAAAACAGACTTTTATGCATACAAAACCGTCGACGAAAATAATATCCTTGAAATGTGGCGTTTTCGGCAAAGTAATCATGCATGACTTGTTCATTAGCCGCCTCATGATGTCTTTGTATGTACCTTCTTTTTCTTTGGCACACATTATCCGCATTTTGGTGCCGTAGTTCTTCGATCTTCTATTTAGCCTCCTGAATGACCTCTATGGTTGTTTCAAGCAACGCATCAAACATGCTCGATGAAAATGATGAAGATGACATTTTTAGAGAGAACGTTTAAGAAGTAGAAGATGATTTTGATGTGGTAAATAAATAAATTAGGTTGTATTTATAGGAGTTTTTTTTAAATAAAATAAAAAATAAAAAATAAAACATTTAATTTAAATATAGCCGTTGTCACCTCCCATTGCTTCACATTTACTCTATCAAACTCGTTGACATCTTTCCACCGAATTGTCAAGCCGAGCTCGGCATGCCGAGACCTTGGCCCGGTGTTCACCGAGATTGCCGAGTGGGTTGCCGAGCCCACTCCCACCGACTTAAACAACCACTTTTGAGTTATTTATTTATTTATTTATTTTCACTGATGAGTTACAAAAACAAATGGAAAAATTTTATTGTACGATAAAGATGATTTATTTTTTCAAAATTTCAATGGTTACTCTGAAATTTGTTTGAATGG